GGGGGGGGGGGGAAGCAACATGCATAGAAAGCCATTATCTTTACATAGCAAAGTCACTTTTCAAACTACGCTTATCTGTATCACTACTGGCTATGTGGAGAAGGTTTGCTAGCTTCTGACTGCCTGGATGTCAAAGCCAAATTATCTTGCCTTTCAAGTAGGGGAGTCTCTCTCTCCTCTCGCCTTTCCTCTCTCCTCTCTCCTCTCTCTCTCTCTCTCTCTCTCTCTCTCTCTCTCACACACACACACACACACACACACACACACACCCCTCCAATGCCTCAGGAAAGGACCAAATCAAAACAATGAGAAGAGAACAATAAAAATAGATTACGAAAACAATAACAGTCTCTATTTCCCCATCTCTAATTGAGGGCTGGACCACAGGCTCTGCAGTTGTGATTTTAAGTACCCAGCGTTCTGAACAATGATCCAACAGTCTGCCACTTTAACCTCACTGACAGGAGAGCAGAGGGAAGCTAAGAGAACCTGCTGCCAAGCTAGAAAATGTATGGCTGTAGCCAGGCAGTTGTTGGCAATGGAGGGACCCCTGACTTGGGGATAAATAATAGTCTCCAATAGTCACCTGCAAACGTAAAAGCTGCAACCCTTGGAGAACCCAGAAAATGATCTCTCCACTGGAATGTTTGTGTTCTGCTCGGCTATGTCTCCAAAGCTTCAGACCTCCTTCCCTGACCTTGCGTTTCCTATTTCTTTCCTCTAAGCCAAGCTCATAAATCCCTATTGTTAACAAATCACATCTGCCATCTCTTGCTGTAGCTGTCGCACTGCCTGAAAGCCTGGCTTGCACACTTGCCTCTCCAACTTTGTGTAATGAGAAGTTCTCAATTCCTTTTCCTGATCTAATGCATGAAAACCTGTAAGGCACAAAGCCCACGCCTTCCCCCTTCTAAGCGGTTAGCGTGGGGCCTGCTGTACTGCTCAGGTTTATCTCAATATAACACGAGCTCACTGACCAAAGAGACTGAGCACTAGCCAAGTTAATACCTTGCCTCAGCGGATGAAGTATCAAACTCACTCGTGTTTTGCTTCAACCATCAATCCCTCCAATAATTGCAATTAAAGGGAAAACATTTTAATGTTCACCCGTCCCCACGGGCCAGAGGGGCTGGAAATCCCGAGGATGAGGGAGCCCTACCAGCCTCCACCTGCCGCAGCCGGCACCGCGCAGGGTCTCCGCGGGGCATCAACGCGCGGGACCTGGAGATTTCGGCCCCGTTCGGGAACCAGCGCGAGCCGGGCCCCCGCCGCTCCTAGGCTGCTAGTTGCCCTGGGGTGGCGACCGATGCCTGGGAGGCAGGAGACCCCGCGGCATCAGGGAAAAGGTACGTCCCAGAAGCCAAGTGAAGGCGAGAGAAAGAGGGCGGGAGAGAGCGGTGAGTGGAGCCAGAGAGAGGCGCGCGTGGCGTGGCGGCGGCCTGGTGCGGGGCCGTCTTACCTCGGCAGACGCCCGCGCAGCAGGCGAGCAGCAGCGGCAGCAGCAGGAGCGGGGACGCCGCGCCCACCTGTCCGGGGGGCGACCTGGGGCGGTGGCTCGCTGTTCGCAGCATCTCGGTGGTTGCGGACGGCTAGCTCTTAGGGACCCTGCGTTGCGCCTCGCCGAGCCGGTGCTCCACCCGGTGCCCTGGCCGTGCCTCCTGCGTCCCTGAAGCGCTGCTCGCGGGGCCGGGACACCGAACTGAGCGCCTCGTGCGCCGCCAACTTTTAAATCTCCGCACACGTGGGCGGGCAGCGCGGTTTCCGCGCGCGTCACCCAGTCTCGCTGCTCGCCCGCGCCCCACCCCACTGCGGGACTCGAGCCCCCTGGCCTGAGTTTCTGGCCCAAGCACCAAGCATTTTTGCTCTGGGAAAAAGAGAAGGGGATTTAAATAATGCACTATTCCCACCTTTGGAAGGACTGGAGTGGGAACAGGATGGGGATGGCAAACCAGACCCCCTGAGCTTTTAAACTTGGTAGTGGCGATGCTCTCTGGTTTTCTGTGTCTGCGTGGACGCCCCTTCTCCTTCACCTCTCCCAGAACTCCGGTAGCCCCTAGTACGCAGCTCTGTGGAAGGGCCTCTGTTTTGTTCCCTGGTTTATCTCCATTTCCAAGCGCAATGCCTGGTGCTTAGCAGGGCAGTGCTAGTTCAACGGTATTGATGCTATCGACCCTCGCCCAGATTCCTGCAAAATGACAGACCCCTTAGAAAAATGCAGTTGCCTGTTAATAAAGGATAAAGAAGAAAGAACTGCTGGGGTTTGACTACACACATGTTTCTAACAGGTCTGGAGCTATGGTTGTCCTACGGATTTCCAAGACTAAGGAAACTCCTTTTTCTATGCATTTCTGCTGTTTTGCATCCTGATTTCTACCGTGGCCTCACTCTTTCTGTCTCTATACTTTCCTTTATTTCCTTGACTGGAAATGTTCAGGAAGAAGCCTCTTCCAGGACATCAGCTAATACAGCCCTAATTTCCTTCTACAGAAAGAGAGAAAACTCATATATTTTTTAAAAATTTTATTTCAAGTTCCAGGGTACATGCGCAGGATGTGCAGGTTTGTTCCATAGGTAAACATGTTCCACGGTGCTTTGCTGCACGTATCAATTCATCACCTAGGAATTAAGCCCCGCATGCATTAGCTATTTGTCCTGATGCTCTCCCTGCCCTGCACCGGCCCCGTCCATAGGCTCCAGTGTGTGAAAACTGGTCTTATTTGACCACCCTTTGAAAGGTGAGGAACGCTAAGGAAAGGGCAGGAAGTACATAGACATTCTTGAAGGGGCATTTTTGCATCAGGCACGTTCTCATGCTATTTTATTTAGTATTCATGGCATCTCTGGGATATAAAAGTACTGCAATTTTCATGTCTGATGCCGGGAGAGGTTGAACAATCTGATCCGGGCTGTCAGCATGTGAGTGAGGAAGCCACTGGCGATTCCACTCCACCAAGATGCTTTTCCCTAATTCAAGAGTTTTAATGTATCAGGCACATACAGTTCAACCTACTGTAAGCAAGGCCTGACCTTTGGGGATACAAGATTTAGTGACAATAGCACCTTTCCTAAGGAAGTTACAATTTGGTAAAGGACCCTAAACCCTTACTCAAATAGCTGAATTACAAGGCAGATTGGGATAGTGCTCTGCCAGAAATACGAAGAGAGGCAGGAGTAAAACCCTGACAGATTACGTAAAAGAATAATAATAATAATAATGGCTACCTTCCTTAAGTTCTTTATACACAGGAAGCATGTAAGAATGGCTGGATTATAGGGTCTCTGGTCCAAGTTCAAGGATGGGCAAGAAAAGATTTGATTCAATGATCTTGTACTTTGATTTCTCCCCAAAGTAGTTTAAAAAAAAAAAAGTAGCACAAAGGATGTAAATGACCTATGGATGTAAGCAAGGGAACATGGCTCTGCTTCCCCATGACCTTCTTCCTGGTGTCTCCCAGAGATGTGCTGAAAGATCAGCAGTCTCAGCAGCCAGTGAGCGTGAGATGTGAGCCAGAGCAGAGAAGCCTGAAACAGTGGGCTTAATGTTTTTTATATCCCCAGCAGGTCAGCAAAAGAAACAACTTGTGTTATAGTGTTTTTGTTTTTGTTTTCTGCATGAACCTGGCTGTTTGGAATGTTCTTGTGCATGTCCCCTAGTGCACATGTGCAAGAGTTTTCTAAGGAATATTCCCAGGAGTGGAGTTATTAGGTCATAGGGCATAATCTAGCTAAACTCTGCTTTACATTGTTTTCCAAAGTGTTATACCAATTCACACTCCCACCAACCATGAATGAAATTTCTATGGTTATATTATTCATTCATGCCATGACAAAGATTGCAGAAATCTTTGTCAATCTGACGAGTATGATTTCTTTTCTTTTCTTTTTGAGATGGAGTCTCACTCTGTCGCCCAGGCTGGAGTGCAGTGGCACCATCTCGGCTAACTGCAGCCTCTGCCTCCCAGATCAAGGGATCCTCCTGCCTCAGCCTCGCAAGTAGCTGGGACTATAAGTGTGCATCACCACACCTGGCTAATTTTTGTATTTTTAGTAGAGATGAAGTTTCACCATGTTGGCCAGACTGGTCTTGAACTCCTGACCTCAGGTAATCCCCTGCCTCAGCCTCCCAAAGTGCTGGGACCACAGGCATAAGCCTCCAAGCCTCGAGAGTGTGACTTCTTATTGTGGACTTAATTTGCAATCCCTAGCTTACTAATGAGGTTATACTAATGAGGTTAACTGGTTTTACAGAAATTATTGGCCATTATGGCTTCCTCTTCTGTAAAATATCTCAATGAAAAGTTTATTTTGCCCATTTTTCCCCCATTGGGTTGTGAGCTTTTTTCTTACTCATTACAGCAATGCTTTAGGTATTTGGGAACATTTGTTTGATTAACTCTGTGGCAAATATTTTCTCCCTATTTATGGCTTTTCCTCCATTGTCTTTAATTTAAGTTGTTATTTTTGAAGAAATGTTCAGGAAAAGACTTGCGGGCTTTCAGGTCATGCCATTATATGACTTGAATGATAAGAGAGGATGGATAGGGGAGGAGGAATGTGGGGGCAGATAGGTACTGGATCCCTCTGGGAACAGATGACTAATGGAAGTTGATTCCACAGGTACCCCTTTTTCCAAGCAGTGCAAAGAAATCCCAGATCGCTGCCGTGGTGCCTTGATAATTTAATCACAGACATTCCAATCTGTACTTCTAAATTCACTTTCATTTAAATTGAGCTTGTATATCTGTATATACCAGCATTGATAGTATTTCCATTTATTCTGTATCAGACTGGAAGTTTGATTCTTAATGCCACGCTGATTCCCCTTACCTATTATCTCTTCCATTCTTCACCACAAATTGGCAACTGGACTTTGCTTTCCGCTGACCATCCATAAGAATGAAGGTTCAATTGGTCAAGGGGCTGCAGAGTAGCAAGACCTACTAGCCTGTGATAGAGATGTCTAGAAAAGTTGCTCAAGGAAAGGATTAAGAAGGGGAGGAGAGTGGGATGTCTGGAGATTGGGAGAGTCAGCAATAAATAGAAACCAGTTAGGTAGCTAAGTGGTATCTCATGCCTGTAACCCCAGAACTTTGGGAGGCAGCTAAGTGGTATCTCATGCCTGTAACCCCAGAGCTTTGGGAGGCTGAGGTAGGAGGATCACTTGTGGCCAGGAGTCTGAGACCAGCCTGAGCAACATAATGAAACCTCATCTCTACAAAAAATAAAAAGAAAATTTAGCTGGGTGCAGTGGCATGCACCTGAAGTCCTAGCTACTCAGGAGGCTGAGGCAGATGAATTGCTTGAGCCCAGGAGTTTGAGGTTGCAGTGAGCTATGATTGTGCCACTGCACTCCAGCCTGGGCAACAGAGTGAAACTGTGTCTCTATGAGTGGATGAATGAATGAACGAATACGTACATACATACATACATACATACATACATACATATATATACATATGCAGTCAATTGGCAATAGGGAAATCTAGTAATAAGCAAAGAGATCCAGCTTCAGGAACTAAGAGTAGAGGCAAGATCTGGAAGATTTAAGGGTTCTAGGCAAGGCGAAGTCACAAAGTCCTTCAAATATTAATCAAACACCTTCTGGGCTCCGTTCTGGGAGTTTGGGATATAGCAGTGATGTCTCTGCCTTAGAGGAGTTGGCAGATTTTCAAGAGAGTCAGATAATAAGAAAGTAAATTTTAAAATTAACAATTTCAGCTAGTAGCAAATGCTATAAAAGAAATTAAGCCAGGGTAATGAAATAATAGAAGGCGGCTGGCAGTTGGAGGAAAGATACTTGAGTCAGGATCATCTAGGCATGTCTCTCTGAGGAGGGGTTATGGGATGCCTGAATGAAGAGAAGGAATGAGCTATGGGAAGAACTGTGAAAAAAGATCCCCAGACAGAGGGACCATCAAGTGCAAAGGCCCCGAGGCAGAAACAAGTCTCTCAAAGTTTTAAGGGGCAGAAGGAAGCCAGTGTAGCTGGCACGGAGTGAGTGAATGGAGTGTGAGTAGCAGAGGTGAGTGAAGTAGGCAGGGTAGGGTCTTGATCATTGATAAGTCTTAGAGGCCATAAGAATGAGTTCAGATTTTTCTCTAAGTAAAAGGGGAAGCCTTTGGAGGATTTAAAGAAGAGGAGTAAGATGATCTGAATTATATTTGAAAAAGATCACTCCAGCTACAGTGAAGATCAGGCTCTGGGAGCCCCAGTAGAATCAGGGAGACCAGATAAGAGGATACTACAGAAGCCCATGCCATGGCTAAAAGAACGAAGTACTGATATATGCTACAACCTGGGTGAAACTCAAAAACACTTATCCCAAGTGAAAGAAGCCAGACACAAAAGACCACATATTATATGATTCCATTTATGTGTAATGTCTAGAATAAGCAACTCCATGGAGACAGAAAATAGATTAGTGGTTTTCAGGGTCTGGGAGAGTGACTGCTTCTAAGTATAACAGTTTCCTTTTGGGGTGATGAAATCTTCTGGAATTAGACAGTAGTAACAGTTCCACAGCCTTGTGAATAGACTAGAAACTACTGAATTCTACACTCCGAAAGGATGAATCTTATCATGTGAATAATATTTCAACTTTGAAAAAAGCATGAAGTCTAGGTCAGATATGATAATACCATGTTGGATTGGATGGTGGCAGTCTTTGCATCTTAGCACCAGCAAAATTTGTCTGTTTTTGGCATGAAATATCCAAATTTTATTACATAGTCCCTAGATGTTCTTAGTAA